ATAATGTTTTATGTAGGAAGCATTTGGAGAAGGTGGTTGGCCACTAGAGTTCCGCGCTGCTGTCGCCCGACTGCTGTCTCAGCACGCGCCCAGCGACAAGGAGGCGCCGCGAGTGCAGAACAACAGAAGAGGTATTCTTCTCTCCATAAATCTCCCACCTCCCTAATCCTTCGTTCACCCTTTTCTACTTAAGACTGAATCAATTTAATCCTAATTCTTGTTCTCGAATGCTGAAGTACCTACTGAGCGGTATTCTGTTAATATCCAGCTCTGCAAAACTTCTGTGGAAGCCAGTCTTTTGATATGCATATATTATACTTTATCGTTTAATTTTTACGGAAGCTTTGTGATATTCTTCTTCTAGTAGGTACTAGAGACTGAAGAGGTCTTCAGTCTTGAAGGTTGGTCGCTAACTTGGAATATTTGGTTCTGTCAAGCGCAAGGCGAAACAGTTCCTCTGCTGACCTAATCCCCGTCCACTCCCTAATATTAGTCTCACAAAATTTACACAATGATGCCTTTAATGATGATTAAATAACTCTGAGTATTGAAAGTGATGTTTTACTAGCATCGTTTGAAATATTTTTAAACAGGTGCTACTGGACAGCGTTTGGATCAGTCGCTGTCAGAGACAATGGTGCTGGATTTGATCGTGCTCGTCGGTTTTGTGGTAGTCGATAATCCTCAATTACAGGTCAGTAAATATAATATTTAATATTTTCTATACTATACGTAAATAAGGCTTATCTGTTTTTAGACATTATTAGTTAGAATCTGCACGCTAGGTCGCATTTGTTCTTAAACAGCTGGACCGATTTTGACTAGACTCTGAGGGGAAGGCAGCTGATGCACGCGATAATATTTAAGAATATTTTTTTAAAACTTTGCAGTGATGAAGTCGCACGACTTTTGGTACATAAATAAAATGATTCCATTTGCACCATTATCATGGGACACCGGTCACCTAAAATGTTTAAAAAAAAATCTAATTTCCGTTGGACATCCGCAGTTAGGGTTCTCATGCGGGCAACACCTGTTTAACACGTGTTTATGTCTTGTTTGTTATTTCTTACCGTAAACTGTAGTGAATTTAATCATGCGTGCTAAAATGTCTCTTAAAGAAAATTGCTGGGTAAATGTCTTTGGAGTTAAATTGAAGGACCAAAACGTGTCGACTTTAATATTTTTGTAAATATAGAAACGATGAGAGGCATTTTCTTACTTAGTCCCCTGGCACATCGACCCAAAGTAGGTGTTCTCCGACATAAGAGAAGGCCAAAGTCTCCTGTCTTGCGTCTTCTGGCAATCCATCACTTGTAGCTCCCGCAGATCTAGCTCTACGGCGTCTCGTCAGCGGTATCTGGGCCGACTGATAGCGAGATGAGATGAATTTAAACGATATTTATTTCAGATTTAAATATACATTGTATTTATAATTTTAATTATAACACGAATTAAAAAAAATCTCTGAACAAAAACGAAAGAGTTTTGCACAAATATTTTGTCGATTCAAATGTTTTTATATTTATATGATAAAAACAAATATTTGAATATTAAAATAAAATTAATTATTAAACTTAAAAATAATTAACATTTTGTACAAAGACTTATTAAATTTAAAGTTAAATAAAAAATATAAAGAAACAAAATTTCCTTTTTGTCGTTCAGTCTTAAGAAGTTCCCACGAACACAGGTGTGGGTTAAGGAAGTGTTTTAGGGGCGATGACTCGCACACGACTTGTCTGACCATTACTATGAATAATTTATATTGTTTCCACTTTATAATCAATTACTACGAAGTAACAGATGCGCTACTAATGTGGAGTCGTAATATTGCCATGTTTCGGAATTTTAAGTTAGTATAACATTGTTTTGAAGACATTTTTGTAAACGAAATTGTAAATAATTAAATTTTTAATTGTACTCGGCAGAAATACGATAGGAGAATAGTTTCAAGTATGAAATATTTTTGGATTAACCATAAAAAACTTAGTGTCATAATTAAATTTTATCTTATTTATTGCACGCTGATATATTCAGACCAGAAATCATGATTATAGAAAGATACGCAGGTTTTTGAAATACAGTATGTAAGTATGTATACCAAACCCAGTTTTGGTGATACACAATTAAGGATAAGAAAATACTCTTTTATAACCACGTTGACGTCTATATCGATCATCGGCGGTCAAACGGTTAAGGGTATTTGTCGTAATACAGTCATGGGCATCGCCAGCTGATGATCTAGCTTTGGTCTAAGGGGCAGCTACCATTACTTCATCATCAGCTCACTACGTCCCTACTGAGGGTCTCGGTGCCTACCCTAAGTAACTAGGCCATAGTTAATCACGCTGGCCCAGTACGATTTGGTAGATACAGCGACCATATGGTTTCATTTGAAGGTATTTTTATATCTATTTTACTCTCCTACTCATTTATAGCGACGCCCAAGAATATAATATATGTTTGTGGTATTTAGGACACGATCTGTGAGGGTTGGAGCGTGATCCGCACTCTGTGCACGTTGCCGGCCAACTGGCTGGTGTCCAGTGTGCACAGTCATGCGCTGCTGCCGACATTGCTGGCGTTAGCTGAGAGACCGGCCACAGCGAACGCCATTGCAGCAGAGTTCAGCTTGGACGTGAGTTTATGCATTTGACTAGGATACTAGAATTTGTCATTTTGTTGATGTCTTTTGTCTTTTCGTCTTTTTAGAAGGTTTAGACAAAGTGCATTCGCTACGAAGCGATTCCATAGCGAACTTTAAAACTGTATGTAACTGAGGCGCGACAATCACGTGACTTATCCAAAGTTAATGTCAGTGCTATACATTTAGGAAGTTCGTTATGGAATCGCTCCGAAGACTGTGCTCCGCTGTAGCACAAATATTTGAGACCTTTGGATTGTCAATTATGTTAAAAATTGTATGATTTTTGTTTGTGTACTTTATGTCGTATAATTTTCTGCACAAACTTTAATACTTTGTCTATGACGATTGTCACAAATATTCGTGCTACGTACACTATACATTAATTTTCGACAATTTCAAATTGATATCGATTGATGGCTTTTTGTAAATGAAATTATAAAGAAAGAAAAGGAAGGGATGTAAAATAAAGTATATTTGTTTCATTTCAACGAAACTGATATATAAACACGGCTAAACACTCACGTATATTCGTCCGGTGGCGGCACCAACTAGTTTCGAGCCCATCGTGGGCACTTCGCCGCGTCCGCGAAACAATACCAGTACCACTCATCCTGATGAAGGGCCCCCGATGAGCTCGAAACTAGTCGGTGCCGCCACCGGACAAATATACGTGAGTGTTTAGCCGTGTTTATATATCACTTTAGTATAATGTCTTACGAAATTTTGAATAATTTCATTTCAACGATACGTTTACGACAATAGTCGAATGACGGGATTCGAACCCCGACTTCGTGATCGGAAATCCGTACCAACCTTAGGCTATTGATGCTTCAATTGCATATATAAAATTGCAATTAATCTTTATAATCCATAGTTAATATAATTAAAATATTCACAGATGCTCACCACGTTCATGGAGAGTGAAGATGCTCAGAAACTTAAATTGATACAAATTTTAAAACAAGCACGTAATAGAAATAACACAAATAACTAAAGCTTTAATAAAGCAAATTGATTAAACAACGCTATTGCGAATTAATTTTAACCTGTCTGTGTTTCAATGCTCTGTGGTTAAAACTGGCACTTGTATCATGTTACCTTGGTTTCAATATTGAGAGGCACATGTTTTTGTAAGTGTTTACTAGTGGAAACTCAACGTTACATGTTTAGTTTTGTGCGTATTGTTTGCCGATATCACAAATGTATAACAGTATTCAAACTTTATAACCGCTCGTCGGCTCGAGGCACATATTCCGCTTTCGCCTCTTACCTAATATTGTATAACGAATTAAAGTCATTTCCCATTTAGGATGGAATATCGCTCAATAACTTGTCACAAATATATCTATTAAAAATGTAATTTAGCAGACAAGTTTTTGAGTTACTTAACAAGTTAAATATTTTTTCCGAAATGGGTATAGTTATTTTCACATATCTTACGGCCCTTTAAATTCGCGAAAGTCACTGCGCAGAACACTATTTTAGGTGTGTTTGAGTGTGGCTGTAGTTGTGGGGGTAGGGTACCTCGTAGCGCATATGACCTTCGACCGCCTAGATATTTGAAGAGAACTATAGAAAATAAATTCGGTTGTACGCAACGTCTGCGAGCAGTCATAAAGTTTGTATAGCACTATACCAGGCTATAGGTTGTTAGCGAACGTATCTCGTCGTTAGTTTAGTGATAAATTGTAGTCACAAAATATACTATCGTTTTGTTAATAGTCTTATATTTATATGAAGAATTGTATTTTTTATTATAACTATTCAAGGTAATTCGGGATTTTGCAATTTAATAATGAATTGATTTTGAGGAATTATGGACTGGATTTTCACCAGTTTTATGTTCCTAATGATTGTACTATCAGCCTTTTAGTCTTTCCGTTTGAGATATGTTTCAATCGTCTTGACGAATAGTTTTTTTTTTTATAATATATTTTTAAAGTTAGATTTTTCTTCTTTAGACTATTAAAAAAACGATATTTTCAAGTAAATGTTGTGTAAATTTATTGTTAATCATATATACATAAGTGGATGTTCCCCGCCTCTAGGAAACTCTCTCATCTTTCGTATTTTCCTTCTTAAATTTATTATTAACATCGCAAATTATTTTTTGTCTCTCGTATTAAAGATTTTATGATATTTATTTTTGGATAACTATTGGTAAATTAATTTTATAATAAAAACTATTAGATTTCTTATTGATTTTTTTTTAACTAAATCTTCGAGACTGAAAGTTTCTTAGCGTAGAATGCCCTAATCCTCCATCTGTCCAAATGTTGGGTAATTGTTGATTGAATAGACATGGGTAACTCAACTAAAATTGATCTACAAGTCACGGCTCATATGTGTAAAACAGATCAGTGACTCGCAGCTCACTTCTATTTGAACTTACATAGAGTTGTGTTTTGCGTTCCCAGCTGCGAACTGAATCATCAAGTAGCTCGCGGCTCGTCGAATCAATGATTTATATTATAAGATGGCAAACGAGTGGTCACCTTAATTTACCGAAATAGCGAAGCGACTGCTACCTTTTATAAGAGACGAAAAAAGGGGATGCACTGAAAGAGAATATTTCCCTTACCTATGCATCTTCGTCAAATTCACTTCACTTTCCCATCCTTTCCTTATAAGAAAAAGAGTGGGAAGGGAGAGTAAAATGAGTCCTCTGGCACGCAGACTTATCAGGCTGTATTAAGAATTGCATGTACTCGAGGCTTGTCTTCTGTTTGGTCGTGGTATAGCACCAGATATTCCTGCTGGCTCTACCATTTGCTAAGTTTTAGTACATTGCGATGAGCCGTGAGTTGCTAGTAATTATTGTGTCACTCAACGGTACATGTGAGTTGAACTTATGAATCGATTCATAGTTGATTTACTGATGACTATTATTAAAATCTTCTTGTAGTCGTGTATGTTCTTAGTTAGTCGTTAACTTGTACTGTATAATCTTTTTGATGTGGCTATACATATTTTTCTATGAATGTAGTTTGTCGTAGGATATTGGACTCTTTATTACTAATAATAGAATCTATTTCAACTTGAACAACTGGGATTATGACTGAAATAAAGATTTGAAAACTGTGATCGTTTGAGATTCAAGAATTTGCTATAAGATTGAATTCGGTTGTGTAAGTTGAAATATATTGTAATGCTTTTTATGTGCGACTGTACTTTGATTTGGATTCAGTTTGGATCAAAGGAATATGTGGAATTTATTATTTTTTTTTTGGTTGAAATTTACGTGTTATGAAAGTTGGTCTAAAAGTGTGCCTTGCGGAACACCATTATGAAAATACACAGAAAGGCTTGATGTTACCTAAGAATTTGGGATGCTGTGATAAATTTGGAAATGAGAAGTTTTTTTTTTTATTAATAAAAGTAAGGCTTTGTGATGAACGTTGAATGCTTTATCCAATGTCGCGGTCAAATTACGTACGCGGTCGTTTCTTTTAATGACTAATTTCCATTTACTAAAACTGTGATTATTATTTATTAGTTTATTTTAATTGTCTGCCACATGTTTTATAGTTATATTAAGTTATTCGCAAGATGGCGACGTCGCTGAGAATATATCAACTGTGATTTCTTTCGTTTAGCGTTTATTAACTTTCGCGTGTAATTTTCATTGTGTACTTTTGTGTAAGCAAAAAAATAAATAATTGTGTAACACTAAAATGTCTTTTTATTTGAACCCCCTCCCCTCAATACACACAAATGTATTTGACATTATTTAATACTTGCTGTCGCCTGCGGCTCCGTCCGCACCGATTTAAAAGTTAATAAGTCTACGTGTTCTTCCAGACTATGTTCTATGCCAAATTTCAGTGAGATCCGTTCAGCAGTTCCGGAGATACCTTCAAACAAACATACATCTAAACATTCGCATTTATAATATATTATAATATTAGTAAGATACTAAGATCAGCTCACTATACGTCCCCATTGAGGAGCTCGGGGCCTACCCTAAGTTAGTGACTAGACCTTAGTCAATGCTGGCCCAGTGCAGGTTGACTTTACATTTGAATTTCTTCACAGATATATGCAGCATCACGATGTTTTCATAGATAGACTAGTGGACCCGACAGACGTTGTCCTGTCTACACGTCATTAATTTAAATAAATTAATATGAAGTTAATATTTGATGAAAATTGTGAATCTAAACTATTCCCATATCCCATTGAACACACACAAAAATTTTTATCAAAATCGGTCCAGTCGTTTGAGAGAAGTTCAGTGACATACACACTCACAGAAGAATTATATATATAAAGATATGTAAATCGAAAAAAACATTGAATATAACAATATAAATAATAATAAAGTATATATATTAATCAAATTATAAGATTACTTCGAGTAATCTTAAAAACTGTAGAATTTTTGCCTCAAAATAACTTTTCGCGTAGATATATATAATTCAAACGCAAACATTTCAAAATGGCGTCGGATGTAAACAATTTTTCAAATATAAAAAACGAGATGCATTAAAAATTTTAGTATCAAAGTGGGATGTGCGATAATAATATATCATCCGAAAATGTTCTTTGATGCCTAATTGAAGTTAAGGTGGATTTTCACTAAACAATCGATTGGATTGAAAACATTTAAATAAACATATTCATTAAAATGAAATGTAATAGAAATTACAAATAAAATAAATATTAATATTAAATTTTAATAAGTTACGGCCTTAACTTATTAAAATATTTGATCAGAAATATTATCAACCAGCTTTTATCCGCGACTCCGTCTGCGCGGAATTAAAAAAAAAATAATCAGTAGTCTATGCTTTCTTCCAGACTATGTTCTACATCTATGCAAAATTACACGGAAGTCCTTTAAGCCGTTCTGGAGATATATACTAACATCCATCCATCTAAACATTCGCATTTATAACATTAGTAAGATTATGGATGGATGGATGTTTGTTTGAAGGTATCTCCGGAACGGCTGAACGGATTTCGCTGAAATTTGGCATAGATGTAGAACATAGTCTGGAAGAACACATAGTACTTATAAAGTTTTTTTTTTAATTCCACGCGGACGGAGTCGCAGGCGACAGCTAGTACATATTATCAATTACCATAAATTCAACAATAAATTGATTCTTTTTTATTAAATGCACAAATAAATGAATGTGGCCTGTATTGATGTAAGCAATAAATATACTATTTAATATAACGATTTATTTCTAACACTTTTAATATATTTAAGGGGCATTTCTACTAAACTTCTTAAAATATTGTAGAAATAATTTGGGTAAATTTTGAGTAACGTAATATGTTTTAGTCATTACTAATCTACAATTAATCTTTGCGTATCGTATATTAGTTATTTGGTAGAGCGCTAAAATGCCCAAAAGTTCTTAGGTAAATAACGTTTTTTTTTATATCATAAGGTGGCAAACGAGCGAGCGGCCACCTGAAATCTCTGAAATAGCGAAGTGACCGTTGCCCATAGACATACGCAATTGCATATGCGTTGCCTACCTTTAATCGACGCAGGATAGAATGCACAGAATGAAAATATTTTCCCCTTCCATGCATCCTCTTACCTGGAAAGTCCACTTAAACTTCCCATCCTTTCCTTATGAGAAATACTCTACACTGTTTTGGATAGGTTTAGAACGAGACGAATCAATTCATTTTAATTTATAATATTTTTAGGGAAGCAAAGTCTGTTGTACGTGTCTGAAGAGATGACGTGGAAAGGATCTACAAGCTCTCCAATTCTAAGACTGGAAATATAATAAAAGTCCTAAACGAATTTCATACGTCACAGCTCAGTTGAAAATCATCACGTCCAATAAAATACCATTAAAGAGACGAGTTGTAAAATTGAAAAGTGTCCCATCTCTGCTCACCCCACTTAGACCGCGTCAATTAAGTCCTCGGTAACGACGGGAATCGAACCGAAACTCTTTGATCAGACAAATTTACGTCCATCTTCTTAAGTGCATTTATACAGCGTGTTGTAAAAATAAACGCACTATATTTTGTGTTGCGTTGTAATGGTTTGTAAGTGTTGCCCGATGATAGATTTATGTTTTGCTTACATTTTTCTAGTGATTTGATATTCATATTTTATTATATCGTGTTACATTAGTTGATTTACAGTTTCTATTTTATTATAGGTGTGAAAGTGTTTTTGTTATAGAAATATAAGCGGTTTTGTGGTTGGGTAAGTGTTTACGTTAATGTATCTCTTTATTTTTATGTTAAAAAAACAAAATTATTTATTTTTTATAGTAATTATAAGGTTTAAAACACTAAACAATTTAAATGTGTCATATAAGTTTAACTTTAACTTTTACACACTACTTTTATTTTAATAATAATTCCTAATAAGTTTAATTTAAAGTACCTATATTTTTAAGGCCTCTACAAATTTCAACATAATTCGGTTTTCAATTAAAAAAAACATTAAAGTAATTTTTTTAATTTTAAGGTTACTCCAACTATTTTGAAACATTAATCGTCCTGTATACAACGCAATACGGAAGTAAATTCTAAAAGCTGTCGGAACTTAATGTTCATGACACCCCATGACACTTTCTGACACACTCAGTCTAATGTTATCTATTTATGTATACACATAAATATTATACAAAGTTTAAAATTGACCTAACATTATAATATTAAGTATTTATAGAACAAATCAAATCTTACTAATATTATAAATGCGAATGTTTAGATGGATGATTGTTTGAAGATATCTCCAGAACTGCTGAATGGATTTCTATGAAATTTGTCATAAATATAGAACATAGTCTGGAAGAAAACATAGACTACTAATTATGTTTTTTTTAATTCCGTGCAGACGGAGAGAGTCACAGGCAATTGCTAGTATGGAACATTTATAATTTTTTTATAATTTGTTTCGTCAATATGTAGGATGTAGTTGTATGATATTTGAGATAAGAATAGTTAGGGATGAGTTGAAATTCATATTTTATTTTACATTTCTGCATCATCACGCCCTCTTATTTTCTGGGGGACATCGGAAGTACTTTTCCATTCGATCGCGTGCGATTATCCGCGAAGCTTTCTTCTCTAACGATGTATGCATAATTCTGTAATCGTTGAAGATTTTTTTTTGTGT